TTATTAAATAGCTATCTCATTGTCTTAAGACTTTGAAATACCAAACCTTATCATCCTCGTGTTTCTAATTATACAGTTTTTAAAAGTCACACCAGTTGCTACCTCTTATGTCATCTCCTTTATTTGCTTGCTCGATCTACCACTATTTCTATTTATTCTCTTTGAAACCTTTAAAAATTGGATTTTATAGTTTTTAGAGTTTATTGTCACGTTGGGTTTCATTTTTATAATTTCTAGATGTCCCGTCAAACGTTGCCATTATACTCCTCTATGGCCCGTCCACTGTCTCTTCTCTTTATTGTCATTGAGATTTAAAAAATCGAACATAACTATCGTTTGGGTTCATTTTTACTTTCTAGAAGTCCCGCCAAACCCTCAGCGGCTTTGCCATTGTACTCCTCTATGGCTCGCCCACTGCCCCCCACCTTTCTTTACTACCATTGAGATTTTAAAATCGAACATAAATATCATTGGTTTTTTTTACTTTTTAGAAGTTCCGAACCTTTAAAAATTAGACTTGTAGTTTCATTTTTTATAATTTTTAGTAGTCCCATCAAACGATGTCACTATGCCCCTCTACAACCCGTACGCCGCCTACTCTTTGTTGTCATTGTGATTCTAACAATTGAACATAATTATCGTTGGAATTCATTTTTTATTTTCTAGAAGTTCCGTCAACCGTCGGTGGCTCGGCAACTATACTCTTATACACTCCGCTCGCTGTTTCTCCTTTTTATTGTCATTGAGATTTTAAAAATCGAATATGATTATCAATGGGGTTTTTTTTTTACTTTCTAGAAGTCCCGGCAACCGCCTTACTCGTTTGCTTCATGGCCTGCCTAATGTCCCTCCTTTTAATCGTCATTAGGATTCTATTTGGTGTTTTACTAATAATTTTTATATGTCGTATCAACCACCACCACTCTACTCCTTTATAGGCCTGTTACTTAATTTTATCTCGTCATGTGTTTTAGATGGTCTTTTCTTTCAATAATATTTAATTTTATCACAAATTTTAGCTATTTTTAAATTGTATTCTTACTTAAACTCTCTTTTCCTTTTCCAATTTTAGATTTTATTTTATTTTTATTTCGAATTTTGATTAATCTCGTATTGGGTTCTTATATAGAAACTTCTTTCAATATTGCTTATTTTTAATTCCGAATTTCAGCTATTTTTAAATTTTATTTCTACTTGGACTCTCTTTTCCTTTTCTAATTTTGGATTTAATTTTATTTGTATTTGGAATTTTGATTAATCTTGTATTGGGTTCTTATATGGAAACTTCTTTCAATATTGCTTATTTTAATTTCGAATTTCAGCTATTTTTATATTGTACTTCTACTTGGACTCTTCTTTTCTTTTATTTTCTTTTTCTCCGATTAATATGGGAATTTCTAGCCCCCACAGCGAACGTGGTGCCAACGAACTTAAAAACTGGCTCAAATACGGATTTGTATTTACAAAAGCGAATGAATTTAAAAACCAACCCATTCATGCATGAAGTACCAAAATACCGACAAACACATCTTTAAATTTTTTTTTTAAAAAAAGTAGTATAAGTTGAAGAGAAGGTTACGGATCAGAGGTCTTGTTCGAGGGAGACGGACCTTTTTTGAAAACGGAATCGGACGTTTTTTTTTACCGTGGAAGTTTTTTTTTTCTCGCCTTTTTTTTCTCCACCGACCACCGGGGAGTCGGCCTTTTTGTAAGAGTCGGACGTCCTTTTTTTTTATCCTTTTTTTGTTTTTTTCTCTCTTTTTTTCAACGGAGTCGGACTTTTATGAGTCGGATTTTTTTCGCCGATTGAAGTTTTTTTCTCCTTTTTTTTCATCGCTTTTTTTTCCACCGGACGACGGAAATTTCTTTTATTTTTTAAGTGTGTGTGTGTGTATATATATATATATATATATATATATATATATATGAATATATATCCGTACGTAGTAACGGGTGTAGGCTTTTTTAATCATCATCATTATTGTACGGTTTCACTATGGTGAAATTCAATGTGGGAATTCGCATGATCGAGCTGCAATTAAAAGTCTGATCATCTCAAATTAGCATGCAAGTTTTTTAAAAGAGATTTCTTATACGTCTCCTTTTGTATTTTTAAAAGCAAACAAACTTAAAAACCGACTCAACCACAGATTTGTATTTCCAAATGCGAATGAACTTAAAAACCGACTCAAATACGGATGACGTACCAAAATACCGACAAAAACATCTTCAATTTTTATAATAGTACAGATATGATTTAGTTAAGATGAAATTCACCGTGTGAGTTTGCTTGGATATATATATATATATATATATATATAAATCATGGGCTGCAGGTAGGACTTAGGAGTCCGATTCTCAAGTTAGCATGCGAGTTTTTTTAAGTAGATTTCTTATATGATTCCTTCTGTATTATCGAAAGTGAACTATCTTAAAAATCGACTCAAATATATATATGGATATATATATATATCCATATATATATATACATATATATTCATATATATATATATATACATATATATATATACATATACATCTATATGAATATATATGTATATGTATATATATATATATATATATATATATATATATGTACATATATATATATATAGTAGAAGTAGATGTATCGATTTTATTTATAATTTTAATTAATCTCGTGTTGGGTTCTTATATGGACTTTTCTTTTAATATTTCTTATTTTTAATTCCGAATTTCAGCTATTTTAAAATTGTATTCCTGCTTGAACTATCCTTTTCTTTTCTAATTTTAGATTTTATTTTATTTTTATTTCGAATTTTGATTAATCTCGTATTGGGTTGTTATATGGAAACTCTCATATCGGGTTATTATATGGAAACTTCTTTCAATATTGCTTATTTTTAATTCCGAATTTCAGCTATTTTTAGATTGTATTCCTACTTGGACTCTTCTTTTCTTTTTTTTTCTTTTTCTCCGATTAATGTGGGAATTTCTAGCCCTCACAGCGAACGTGGTGCCTCCTTTCAAAGCTGTTTTAATAATATAACTAGCTGGGTGGCCCGCGCAATTGCGTGGCTAGCACCAATATAAAATTATCTATTTTTTAATATAGTTTTACTTAGAATTTTGTTAAATAGATATTTCGTTGTCTTAAGACTTTGAAAAACCAAACCTTATCATCCATGTGTTTCTAATTTTATATTTTTTAAAAGTTATGTCAGTTGCTACTCCTAAATATATTGTCACCCCTCGTTTATTTGCTTCCTCGATCTACCACTACTTCTATTTGTTCTCACTCAAACCTCTAAATTAGACCTTATAGTTTTTAGAGTTTATTGTCTCGTTTGGGTATTGTTTTTATAATTTTTAGAAGTCTCGTCAAATGTTGCCACCATACTACTCTACGGTCAATTCACTGCCTCTTGTCTTTATTTTCATTGGGATTTTAAAAATCAAACATAATTATCATTTAGGGTCTTTTTTTACTTTCTAGAAGTTCCACCAAACTGTCAACGACTTTACCACTGTACTCATGTACAGCTCACCCGCTGCCCCCTCTTTATTGTCTTCGAGATTTTAAAATTCGAACATGATTATCATTAGGGTTTATTTTTTTTACTTTTTAGAAGTCCCGCCAACCGTTGTGACCATGCTGCTTAATGACCCGTCTATCGTCCCTCCTTTTAATCATCATTGGAATTCTATTTGGGGTTTTGTTTATAGTTTTTAGATATTCCATCAACCGCCACCACTCTAATCCTTTACATACATGTTGCTTCTCCTATATTTGTTGTCATTTGTCATCTTTTTATAATTTTTAGAAGTCATGTCAAACGCTGTCACCATACTTCCCTTCGGCCTGTCCACTACCTCTTCTTTTGGTTGTCATTAGGATTTTAAAAAACGAACATAATTATTATTTTGGTTCATATTTTACTTTCTATAAGTCCCGCCAACCGCCATGACCGGGCTGCTTAACGGCCCATCCGTCGTTCCTCTTTTTAATCATCATTGGGATTCTATTTGAGCTCACCATTCTACTAGTTTATAAACCTGTTGCTTCTCCCCCTCTTTATTGTATTTGTCATCATTTGTGTTCTAGATGGAGTTTTTTCTTAGAAGTCCATATTTTTCATTCCGATATTTTTATTTATAAATTATATTTCTACTTGAACTCTTATAATTATTTTTATATTTACAGAATTTATTTTTTTGTTATTTCAAATTTTAGTTAATCTCGTCATATGTTCTAGATGGTCTCTTATTTCAATATTTTTTACTTTTTATGATGAATTTAAGTTATTTATAAATTGTATTCCTAGTTGAACTATTATTTTTTTCTATTTTTGGAATTTATTTTAATTTTTATTTAGAATTTTAGTTAATATCGTATTATGTCTTATATGAATTATTTTTTAATGTTTTTTAAATTTTCAATTTTATAGTTGTTTCATCCTACTCGAACTATCTTTTTTATTTATCCAATTTCAGATTTTATTTTATTTTTATTTCGAATTTTAGTTAATCTCGTATTGGATTCTTATATGGACTCCTCTTTTAATATTTCTTATTTTTAATTCCGAATTCTAGTTATTTCTATATTGTATTCCTACATAGACTCTTCTTTTTCTAATTTAAGATTTTATTTTATTTTTATTCCGAATTTTAATTAATCTCGTATTGGATTCTTATACGAACTCTTCTTTCAATATTGCTTATTTGTAATTCCGAATTTCAGCTATTTTTAAATTGTATTTCTACTTAGACTCTTTTTTTCTTTTTCTCCGATTAATGTGGGAATTTCTAGCCCCCACAGCGAACGTGGTGCCTTCTTTTCGAGCTGTTTTAATAATATAATAGATAGATCTCATCATTTGACGTAACCCTAAGCTTTTGCCTCATACATAGTCGATGGCTTTTATGTTCGGAAAGAACGAGCTTTTACTTAAGGATAATTTTACCATTCTTAAAGAAGGTATTGAGAGGTACCACATTTTCTAATGTAAAACTTGGTACAATACTTACTTACAGATACTTATAGGTACTTTCTTAATTACTGTAAAATTTTTCTTTACAGAAACTTTATATTAAACTCATGGCCACTTTGCAAATAAAAAAGAGCATAGCATACATGGAGGGAAAAAAAACTATTTAACAAGTGGAAATGCCATTAATTTGTAACAACAAATCCAGTTTGATAGCTCATAGATCGTTTGATCTATGAACTGGAACTTTGGGATGGATTGTATCAACTTGCATACGAGTAGAGCGATACATTTTGACTCACACAATATATATACAGTTCAAGTGACCGAACCATCTCATGCAGGTTCTATGCTAAACCAAACACTACCTACAGTAGCAATAGTTTATTTTTTTAGGACGAAATAACTGTATCAATGGAATTAATTCAATCATTTTCCTTCGCAAATGCGCGCAGGCACGATGATCTCACTGCATGCACGATCAATTGGCATCAACTCCACCCTTGTGGGAACCTCATGCCCCCGAGGCTCGCCGTCTCCTCGAAGCCGGTATCGTAGAAGAAGCCGTATTCATCCCCAATTCCGATGGACCCTGCCAACCCCATCATCGGCGAGCTGTTCACCTCCTGCGGGAAATGATCGAGAACCGAGTTGCACTGCAGCATCGCCAAGTTCAGCAACTGATGGCTCGAGCTGTCGAGTATCTCGTTCTGCCTCGGCGCGAATCCCATCGACGAGCCCGTATGGTCGTCGCTGCTGTACGCGGCTTGGCCAGGCACCGCCGCCTGCGACGAGCCGGCGAAGGTCGCCGCCGGGGAGGCTGCGCTGGTGGGGTTGTCTTGCTCGCCGTCTCCCTTGCTCTTCTGAAACACCCTGCAAAGCACCCAATCCTCCTGCAAGAAACGCATATCGATCCGTGTCCAGGTTAGCAATTAGCGGCAACAAGAAGTAGCACGTTTTGGCGGGTAGAGAGAAGAGCTAGCTCGTGCTATGTACGTACCTTTGGTGGAGAATGCGGCGAGTCGAGGCGGAACTCGTGCATGACCCAGCCGGACTTGACGCCGTTGGGGGCGCGGCCCTGGTAGAAGACGAGCGTCTTCCGCATGCCGACGACGGCGCGCGTGGCCGGGCTGCGCACCTCGCGGTCCTTGCCGGTGGCCTTCCAGTAGCCTGTCTTGGTGGCGCGGTTCGTGCGCGACCCCGTCGCGTACTTTCGGTCCCTGAAGCTGAAGAAGTACCACTCGCTCGCCGTCAGCTTCGCCACGTCTGCATGTGCGCAAAGAATAGCAAGAACGAATGCGTTGTTAGAGAGGGGCTTGAGAAGTTGAGATAGTGCATGCGAATTAGTCTGGCTTTGCATACATGAAGTGAAACTAATTTCTGATAGGGATTAGCTAAAAAACTGTCGAGTGTTTTTTGAGGGGAAATTTTACTAGAATTATATACTATAATAATAATAACTTGTATATATGTATTAAAATAATATATGCAACTTTATATCTAATTTATATAGAGATAACAATATAGTTATAGTGTAGTTACACTATAGTTACAATGGTAACTACAATGTAACTAGAGTGTAACTGGAGTATAACTAACTGTAACTTGCAAACTTTTTAAAAAACTTGCATGAGACGAAGTGGCTACCACGCATAGCTAGTGGGATTGAAGTCCTGGGTTCGAACCCCATGCAACACACAAATTTACATATCGCGTGGATCTTTTGCACGAACGCGCCAGCACTAATCTTGAGGCGAATCCGACGTTCAAAAATTCGGCAGTTTTTCTTTACATATCGCGTGGATCTTTTGCACGAACGCGCCAGCACTAATCTTGAGGCGAATCCGACGTTCAAAAATTCGGCAGTTTTTCTTTACATATCGCGTGGATCTTTTGCACGAACGCGCCAGCACTAATCTTGAGGCGAATCCGACGTTCAAAAATTCGGCAGTTTTTCCCCTCGTTTACTGTCGCCAGTAAACTAGCAAATCCGTTCTGATACACCGAGGAGAGTTTAGATTGACGGCCGTAAAGTGCTCAAACTGAACTAATTTCTGGAGGAAAAAGGGAAATGGTTTTTCAGAGAAAAAAGGAACAGAAAAACGGAAGGAACTGTTACTCATGTGACGTAGCAAAGAAACAGACGGTATCGGAGTCGTCATCAAGATGGCGACGAGTATAACACTTTGCTTTCGTATCAGTTAATGTATTATTGGACGAAATTATTGTGGATTATTCCGTGATAAATTATGGAGCTCAAGGCCATTAACTGACAGAAATCGAATCTTTAGGATTCATTCAAGTTAAAATAATTCAAATATATATACTAAGTAGAAAATTCTTCGATCAGGTAGTTATTTTCTTGTTCATCATTATAATTGTGACATCATCAGTACTTGCTGCTACGGTGCTACCAAATTAAAGGGGCAAGCTTTTTTTTTTTTTGCAAATATATCTTCAATGGAACAGAGCATGCTAATTAATCTGCTAGCCTATCGCATCATGAAGAAAATCAGATGCATGGTTTTTGCTGTTTTCTGTAAGCATCTCGATCGAGATCATCACATCTATGATCTATATATCTAATCCGGAAACATGCTAACATAAGAGTTACTAGTGATAAAGCAACCTGTGCGAGATCGAGGGGAGAGATATATAGAACGATGAGAATTAGCAGCAACATGCAGGATATATTAATTCATGACTCACCGGGAAGCTCCCATGGCTCGCGCGCATGGAGGTCGACTTCCACCAGCGTCCCCTGCGAGGCGCGCTCGTTGGACACCTTCTTGTAGAGGTAGTGGCAGACCAGCTCCTCGTCGCTCGGGTAGAACCTGAACCCCGGCGGCAATGTCGACTCGATCTCCCTCAGACCCATCGATCGATCCCTCCCGGCCGGCCGGACGACGTAGATCGAGCTCAGAAGCGATGCGCAAGAACTAATCCTCCTCCTAGTTTGCTTGCTCCTTTTGGCTACAGAATTTTACGCATATGGTGAGCTAGCCCGAGCACAAACGAGAAATATAGATAGATATAGGTGTAAATTTTGAGAGTGGTTGGAGCTCTCGATCGAGTCCTTTTTATAGAGAAGAGCGCCGGCGAGAGGGGCCAAGCGAGCTAGCTTGCTGGGAAACGAAAGCTCGATAGCTAGCCAGTAGCTACTGTAGAAAGCTCGATCCATGCCGTGTCATGGAACAGTACTTAATCGGCGAGCGAGCTGCACACAGCAGCGGCCGTGCAGTCTCTATCCATCTCCTGGCTAGCTAGCTAGCGGCTTAGCTCTCTGGCCGGCCTGTACGCCTCGGCTAACTTAGGTGGAAGATTCAACGCAGCGATACGAACGGCAGATACTGCATCAGTGCATCCTACATGAAACACTGGCTTCAATTCCTATATGGCTGGCACTCGATCGGTAAAGATTTCTTTCTGTCGATCTATGTATGCTCCTCTATCTTTATTTATTTATTTATTTTTTTGCTAGGATTCGATGGATCTGTCTAATTGAAGATTATATAAGATGACGGTAATAAATGGAAAATGAAAAATTATACATGATGCATATTTATCAGTATTAACGCGTTACATCAATGTATAAGGAATAGGGAATGTATATTTGGCATTTGGTAGAAAACATCCTTCAAAATTTTGTTAATCTGGACTATCATACTATGTTAAAATAAGTACAGTAGTCTCTGAATCCTAACCCTAACCCTCCCCCGTTCCCCCCTCCCTCTCTCTCTCTCTCTCTCTCTCTCCTCCCTCCCTAGTCTCGTTGTTGCCATTGCAAGAAATCTCCCCCCACCCAATCCACCCTGACTCCTCCGCTGCCACCGCCCGCCCTTGCCACCACCGGAAGGAGGGAACAGTGTCGACAAGGACCGCTAGACCTCCCCTTCCATGCCTCCCCACCTCGTCAAGGCAGCAACAACAAGGCGTCCCTGTCCTGCCATCGAGACATATTATCACTGTCACAGTTCCTCCTAACCACTCGTGACGCTTTGCTCCCGTCACCAACACCAGCCCAACACCCATTGCCAACCATGTGGCTTTGGTGGCGATGCCGCTGCCTACCCCACCCATTTCGCAACCCACCGCTGGACCGACACCTCCCACGACCATCCTTCTAAATAGGGGTGAGCATTCGGTCTAACCGAAATTTTCAGTCTCTGTCTTCAGTTTTTCGGTTATTTCGGTCTTTGAAAAGTTTTAGACTGAATTTCAACACAAAAAAATGTCAGGACCGACAAATTCGATCTCGGTCTTTTCGGTCTCGATCTGACCGAAATTCAGCAACATTTTCATATATGCAAAGAAATAATTGAAATTTTCAAACACAAAAATCACAAAAAAAATCCATAAACACGTATGAGTAAAGACTCTTATTAGGTTACATGCCTAGAAGAAGTAGGGATGTGAAAATTAGAATTTAATCCTATTGAACTTAGTGGATTGTAGGTTGCATTGAGAAATTTTTTTTGTTAATTCGGAATATTTGGTTAACCGAGGAAACTAACCGAATTGACTGAACAAAATTCGGTCTTTCACTGCCTAAGACCGAATTGATGACCGAATTTCTAGGTCTCGATCTTTTCGGTTCTATTTTTGTCCACCCCTACTTCTAAACACGTTGAACCCCCATCATTGCCAAAGATTAACGAGCTCACAGGAGCAGGAGGAAAAGGTCTCATTGCACGAATCTCGGAGCATATCGGAGGTTCCGAAATATGAAAGATAGGTGGCTTCAATTTTCCGTTGAATGGAGATTAGCAATTTCCTAAGGACACACACCTTTTTTTCCATGTATTGGTGGTTTAGTGCAGCTTAATTACTCCTTCTGTTTCGAAAATAAATCAACCTAATATAAAATGTGATATATTCTGCTTAGATTTATAATGTTAGTATGTGACATCTCGTATTAGATTAGTTTATTTTAAAACAGAGAGTTTTTGTGTGCGTACTACGGTTGGAAGGATTTTAAAGTGCGAATTAATTGGAGGGGCAAAAAGAAGATGTCCTTTTAATGTTGTTCGATCACGTATGATTAGGGACGACGACGACGGCGACGTGATGGCACCCGGAGTATGTGGGTGTGCGTGTGTGAGGGCTGCACAAGCTTTTGTCAACACATAAATAATGCAGTTGTAGTGTGTACTATGATGGGACCGGGGATTGCAAATTATGCATCGGTTTGATGTGCACATTTAGCTTGCTGTTTTTCTATTGCATCTCTAGCTTTGATATAGTACTTAGGAGTAGTAGTTAATTAACCATTGTTTCGTAACGATGGAGGCAACACTGTGGTCTTGGGCACCGGATTAACAATGTTGTCCTTTTCTTAAGCAAAAATTAATTTAGTACATCGCGATTCGGTGGTTTTAACTCCCTGACACTATGAAAATCGATCTTTCAAAGATGACACACTTTAAATATAACTATTTATTATTGGAAATCAGTTTTTTCCTCGTAGCTTTAGTGGTGCATCTAGTGCAGGACGGTGGCTCCCCTACGGCGACGCGGGTCAAGAAGGGCAGCAGTGGCGGATACGTGCCACGCCACGAAGTCAATGAGACATCAACCGGTAATCCGGATAAGCATGACTTGCTAGGGTGGGAGGAGAGTATGGGGAAAAGGCCCTCACAGTAGTGCATGCATGATGTCAAGGTAAGCGTGTAGAGATGTGGCTCTGCACAAGCACAGCAGTGAGTTGACTTCCATTGGTGAGTAGGCCCTAGGGACGACGTTGCAGTGCATCTCCAAAATAGGCCACGATGTGCTAACCTGAATGAGCATGCCCGCTTGGCAATCTTCAGTAGCAGGTCATGTGCCTCCCGCAGCAGGTCCATGGACATTGCCTTGGCACACTTGAGCAATATATTAAGTGGTCGTAACCCTTATCTCTTTGTCGCCTCCTTCTCCTCCAGCCCTGCCACCACCACCAACCCCTGCTATCCTTCCCTTAGTGGCCACACCATGTAGTTGCAGCTGCTTCCCCTATGCACGGTCCTACTCTCCTTCCTCCTTGTTGGCTGCTCACTTGGCCTTCATCGTTGGCGCGTCGGCACTGCGGACACGCGATAGGACTCCCTAAAGTATCAAGATGTCGCACACAAATAGAAGAAAGCATGGAGGAAGAGGGAAAGAACCTAACCTCTGAGTTAGGTGAATTTATGACTTTTCATACTATTTCTCTCTTATTCAACCCAAATGGATATTTTAATTGGCATGTGCCCAACAAAAAATAGGCATATATGTTGAGAGTGTTTTTCCCAAATTTACCATATCCTGAGTAAAAAAAGATGTTACAATGTCCTACAACAAATTTTGCCTTTCTTTTTTAAATACATTGAAGACACTTATACACAACTGTGTGGGTGCACCCCCTACCAACCATAAATCTATGCCTCACTAAAATCCTACCAAAAGTATAGCCACATGCGCATAATATTGATTGGTAACAAGATTAAATTGTATTCAGGTGGATAGATCGTGCACACACAGTTTACCTACTATACAACCGGCCGGTACTCCCCCCCCCTCCCACACACGCACGCATGCAAACACACAATCTCATCATTTAAATGAAGCGTCCAACACAATCCACATAATTGTATTTGGTACAACTTTTGCACAAAGGTTATTGTTTCTTGTTTCGAATTTAACTTATTACTTAAAAAACATGTTATGGAAGTACATTTCGAGACCAAACTAAATATTGTTGTAACATATGGTCCTGAGAACATGTAAAGGACCTCCCTCTCTGTGAGAGAATGTCCTTGCGAGTGTACAGTGGAGTGATCACTGAGGATGGAGAGAATGGATCGGAGTCCCCGTTTTCCCCTTGGGGCCTTTTTTATTTATATGCTATTAAAAATTATAGCATTGCCTGGCTCTTTACATGTGATTGATATTGTCCTTTGGGGCACTTTAGTTCTCTATTATACTCCCTCTGTTTTTTAATAGATGACGCTGTTGACTTTTTCTCACATGTTTGACCATTCGTCTTATTCAAAAATTTTATGTAAATGTATAAGATATAAATCACACTTAAAGTACTATGAGTGATAAAACAACTCATAACAAAATAAATTATAATTACGTAAATTTTTTAAATAAGACGAATGGTCAAACATGTGAGAAAAAGTCAACGGCATCATCTATTAAAAAACGGAGGTAGTATTAGTTAACACACTTCAGGAATTCTAATATAGCTATAGTATTAAACTTGCTCTTAAAATGGAAACAAATGTTCGATGCATGTCAAGTTACGTGCGGAATGGGTTAACTACTAGTAGTAATTGATCGTTCGCCCAACTTTACTGTAGTCCTAATTGATGAACATATTAATTTGGTGCATCATACAAAAATAAAATGCATATAGACATGATGCCATGCGTTGGGATAGTATTTTGTATGTATATAATCGGTGAACAGATCTTTCTGTTGAGATGGTACAATTCGTTGAACCTTTCAGATTTGACGTAGGGCACTTATTCCAGATAGTCTTTGGGCATTCTTTTTTTTCCTGCGAAAGTCTTTGGGCATTTCGAGTGTACTCATTGAGTAACCACTTGCCACTTTCTTGTGGTTTATAATAACTAGAAGAATTCATTCAACCAATCAGACTCTCTGAGCTAGCAATCAAGAACAAAAGTTGATTGGGCTGCATATGCGTATGTTGTTCGTATTTACTCTACCCAACTACAATGATTCACGTACTACAACGTTCATCATCTCTTTCAAAAAGTACAATATTCATCAGATCATTATGCCATTATCATTATTAATTAGGGCACTGTTCATACTGAAAAGACGAGAAAAGGAGATCATATTTAATCGGACATGAAGCCACAAAATTAACTCGTCATTATCACAAAATCAAATCGTCAACCGATAATTAATCGTAGAGGCCGGTACATCCACCTAGGATATATATTTCTTAAAACAATTTAGCCTCTATATCGATCCACAAGTAGAGCCATTCACCTAAAATATAGAGGCCGGTTTTAACCTATTATTTAAAAATGGATAAGTAATGGTGAGATCCACGAAATTGATCGAAAAATCTTAAGTAAATACAAAATGGTGGAAACATGACGCTTTATGGAACTATGACTAGCTAATAACTCACTAGTACCGTCCATCTAAAAAAGACCAATCCTACCTACGAATGTTGTGTGTCCAGATTCGTAGCCAGTAATTCGTT